AGATGGCTGTTAAACAAAAGGGGAGAGGAATGAGTTAGAGCGCAAGGTAGTGCAGAGTGTGACAGAGCTCATTTGCGTGCAAGAGCTGGGGGGGGGCGAGCTGTACCCAAATTGGTCAATTCATCTTTCAGTGCCTCCCAACCCACCATAAGGAAGGAATGCCCTAGCCCCAAGCACCCAGGGGGCTAGTAGGATGAGTTTGTTTTGACTACTAGGGGTCAAACTTTGTGGGAGAAAAGGGAAATATGAACAACCTCCCCAATGCTCAAGCACTAAGTTCTATACACGTAGACTTCTGGTATAAAGATAAGAAACTTTTAAGATACAGCTTCACCAAAGGGCAAGTACTGACGCAATTACCATCCACTGTGAAGCATCCACTGAGGACCGGGTTAGAGAGCTTCTGGAGGGGCTGGATGTGTTCAAATCAGCAGGTCCAGATGCTCTCCACCCCAGGGTGCTGAGGGAGCTAGCAGGGGTTATTGCAGGGCCCCTGGCACGGCTTTACGAGCGCTCGTGGTGCTCTGGCCAAGTGCCAGATGACTGGAAGAAAGCCAACGTGGTCCCCATCTTCAAAAAAGGGAAGAGGGAGGACCCGGGCAGCTATAGGCCCATTAGTCTTACTTCAATCCTGGAGAAACTCTTTGAGAAGATCATCAAGGAGCACATTTGTGATGGGCCAGCAGCAGAGATGATGCTGAAGGGCAACCAGCATGGTTTCATTAGGGGCAGGTCTTGCCAGATCAACCTGATTGTCTTCTACGATCAGGTCACAAAAGCATTGGGTGCAGGTGTCGCGGTGGATGTAGTCTTTCTGGACTTCAGGAAGGCCTTTGACACTGTCGACCACCCCATTATCATCAAAAAACTAGGTGACTGTGGTATTGATGCCTACACAGTCAAATGGATTGCAGACTGGCTGAAGGGTCGTACTCAGAAGGTAGTGGTGGATGGGTCTTTTTTGACCTGAGGGGAAGTGGGCAGCGGAGTCCCCCAGGGCTCGCTCCTTGGGCCCACACTGTTCAATTTCTTTATTAGTGACTTGGACAACGGGGTAAAAAGCAACCTGTTCAAATTTGCTGATGATACCAAGATTTGGGGTGAGGTGGGCACACTAGTAGGGAAGGACACATTACAGCAGACCTGGACAGGTTACAGGGGTGGGCTAACAAAAATAGGATGGGTTTCAATATGGACAAGTGCAGGGTGCTGCACTTGGGCAGTAGTAACCAGCAGCACACTTATAAGCTGGGAAACTCCCTTCTGGAGAGCACGGAGGCAGAAAGAGATCTTGGAGTCATCATTGACTCCAGGATGAACATGGGCCGACAATGCGAGGTCACGGTCGGCAGGGCTATTGTGCATCCACAGGTACATCTCAAGTAGGGCCAAGGAGGTGATCCTCCCCCTCTA